GCTGAATAAACGTGGATTTCTTCTACATTTACAGGTCTGGGCCTCAGCCTCAAGTTACAGAAGCCAGACTCACTGTGGGATCGACCTGTTTGGTTAAATGAGCTGAACTTACAGCAGTGACCAGTCTGACCCACTCCCATTAACTGCACTGTGGCTTATAGGCCAAAACATTTCCACTTTAATATGAAGGAATTGCCCTGTTGTGGTCAAATAATGATGCCTTGAGCTTTTCTTTTCAAATATGAGTTATAGCCTGATTATTCTTTCTTTTCTTCAAGTCACAGCTTATTCCTGCGTTATGGTCTTTCCCATAGACCATATATTAGTGGTTGACTGAGTGGGTGCTGACATCACAATAGTGTTTGCTGAACGTGGAAGAAACCGATTTGAACATAAGCAAGCTGGTGTCCAATAAAAGCATTTATTATATGACTTGGACCGTACGCATGCTCTGATTGGCTGATTACCGGTCTGATATTTTCCCATCTTGGACCGTTACCATGACAATCTGTCCGCAGCGCGTTTCACACAAAACCAAGTTGGACGTGAACATACTTCACAAATATCTCAAAAGCATTGGTAAAGACACAGACGAGAGTCATATAATGAAACATTTATTAACCTTGCTTGCTCGGTCTGTACAGAGAAATATCAGACCGCGGCCTTAATGTACAGACCGAGCCGTGGCAAGGTCTGTGCAAAAAGGCCAAGGTCCATACAGACCTCGCGCTCCGTTAATAAACCGTTATTGTTCAGCCGGGGGCTAACCAGGGACAGATGTGTTGCTAAGATGTGTTGCTAAGATAAGCTGGAGTTTAACCCTACAAATGAAGGCATCTGATTGGTCAATCCTTACTTATAGGGTCATATCTGGATTTACAAAGACAATATCAAAACAAGAAAAACACTGGGATCATAGAGAGACCACAGATTGTTTAAGCCCAAAATGGTGACTGTGACACAGACAGTTACAGATTTAAAGGGTTTACTGTATGTAAGTCAATCGATAGCTAGAAGGAAATGGAGCAAAACTTCACTTATGAGATAGCATTGTCCATCTTTATACAGTCTTCAGCCATAAAAGAGAGAGCAAGATGGCGCCGTGTCATGGCGCCGCAGTGAGAGCTCTAGTGTGCACAATCTGTGTTTTGTTGCTGTTTGTCTTTGAGTCACTTGCCACTGTGAAGTATGACCGAGAGGCGCTTCTTAACATTTTGGACCTTGCGTGTGACGCGTCACTCGTACTACCCGAACTGAGGTGCACAAACTTCCTCGAGTGTCCCACTCGAGAGGCTGGTGGAGCACGGCAGGCGGGCCGCGGCGGTGGCCGCCAACAGAACGAGGTGACCGGGCGTCTCCAACGTTCTCTCCGCGGTGTGGAGCTGGGCACCTCTAGTCGGCGAAGGAGGCGCAGACACCGGGGAAGGCGAGGCGGTCTGCTCGTTCGAAGCCGCTCCTCCAGGACCCCTTTGCCCTCCATCTACCTGGCCAACGTCCAGTCTCTGCCCAACAAGACGGACGAGCTCGTGTGTCAGGTCCAGAGCCAGCACGAGGCCCGGGACTGCGCTGTGTTCTGCCTCAGCGAGACGTGGCTCCACTCGAACGTCCCGGACTCTGCTGTTCAGCCCCCGGGATTCACCGCTCACCGCGCGGACAGAGTGAAGGAGACCACGGGCAAGGCCAGAGGCGGAGGTGTGTGCTTTTTAATTAATCAGCGCTGGTGCACGGACACTCGCATCGTGAACCAAACATGTACTGCCAATCTCGAATGCCTGGTCTTGAGCTGCCGCCCTTTTTATCTTCCCCGTGAGTTTTCAGTGATATTTTTATGTGCTGTTTACATTCACCCACGTGCGGATTACAAAGTAGCCCTACAGGATCTGAGCCAGATCCTTCACAAACATGAGTCTGCTCATCCTAACGCAGTCATCATTGTTGCTGGGGATTTCAATAAATGTAACTTAAAGTCTGTACTCCCGAACTTTTACCAACATGTGACTCAAGCTACAAGAGGAGCACATGTTCTGGATCACTGCTACAGTAACGTGAAGGGAGCTTACAGGTCCAGTCTCAGACCTCCTTTTGGAAAGTCTGACCACTCCTCTGTTCTCCTTCTTCCTTCGTATACTCAGAGGAGCAGGGAACATAAACCAACCTCTCGCACTGTGCAGTGTTGGTCTGAGGAGGCTAGCATGAAGCTACAAGGTTGTTTTGATGCTACGGACTGGTCTGTGTTTCAGTCAGAGGACGTCAATGAATTCTGTGACGCTGTGTCTGGATACATACGCTTCTGTATTGACTGCTGTGTCCCACAGAAGGTCATTAAAGAACATTTTAGTCAAAACCCTTGGATGAACGCGGAAGTGAAACTGAAACTTCATGAGCGTGCGTTGACGTTTCAATCAAATGATACAGTTGCTTATAAGCTATCCTGTTACTCATTGAAACGTTCTATTAAATCTGCAAAGCGCAGTTACGGGGACAGGTTAAAGAGTTATTTTGACATCGTGGAAACCTAGTGCTGGGAAAATTGCATCTGTCGGCCAAGCTCTGCCAAACCGCTGATGCCTGTCCTACTGTATTCCCTGAGTGTTTCAATCAAGTTGCCTTCACCGTGACTCAGGAGGATGTCAGGCGTGTCTTGTCCAGGACCACAGTCCGGAAAGCCCCGGGCCCGGACGGCATCCCTCCTCGTGTCCTGAAACTGTGCTCTGAGCAACTTGCTCCTGTGCTAACAGACATTTTCAACCTGTAGCTAAGAAACTGTACTGTGCCGAACTGCTTTAAAAAGAGTCGACCATCATTCCAGTTCCTAAGAAAACTCCTGTGACATGTCTGAATGACTATCGTCCTGTGGCCCTCACGTCTGTTCTTATGAAAACTTTTGAGCAGCTTGTGCTGGACTTCATTAAGAGCCAGATCCCTGTGAGTGTTGACCTGCTCCAGTTTGCTTACAGACAGAACAGGAGTGTGTGGAGGATGCCATCTCCTTTGCTCTGAACTCTGTCTACAGTCACTTGGACAATAGTAAATCTGTCGCGAGAATGCTTTTCATTGATTATAGCTCTGCTTTTAACTGCCTTGTCCCAGGTAAACTGATTGAAAAGCTCATGTCTCTCGGTTTAAGTGTTGCCATGTGTAAATGGATCTATAGCTTTTTAACTGACAGATCTCAAAGAGTGAAAATCACTGTTTTTCTGATCTTTCTGTGAGCACTGGTTCTCCTCAGGAATGTATTTTGAGTCCTTTGCTTTTTACTTTGTACACTCAGGATTGTGTGTCCTCCTCTGACTCAAACTTGATCATTAAATATGCTGATGACGCCACCATCATCGGTCTCATCAGTGACAATGATGAATCCTCTTATAGAGCAGAGATACAAAATGTGGTTCAGTGGAGTAGAACTAACAACCTCCAGTTGAACGCATCCAAAACATGTGAACTGGTCCACGACTTCAGTCGCAATAGTTCTCATTTGCCTGTCGTAATCGACAACTCCCAGGTGAGATCGTAGAGGAGTGTGTTTCTGGGTTTATCTCTGTCTAACGACCTGAAATGGGTTATAAACACTGACCGAGTCGTTAAGAAAGCTTGTCAGCGTCTCTACTTTCTGCGTAAACTTAGAGAAATTTACCACTAACTCTAAGATTGTGCTTAACTTTTATCGCTGCACCATTGAGAGTTTACTTGTTGGTTCTGTGTCTGTGTGGTTTGGAAACATCACAGATAAAGAAAAGAGAGCTTTAAACAAGGTGCTCCGCTCTGCAAAGAGGACCGTGGGCTGTGAGCTTCCTGTTCTGGAGGTTCTTTATAAATCCAAACTTTTAAACAAAGCTCTTAGGATTGTCAATGACTCTTCTGGCCACCCTGGGAAAGCCATGTTCCAGCTTCTTCCCTCTGGCAGAAGATATCGCTCTCTGAGATGCAGGACATCTCGTTACGCTAACAGTTTTTATCCACAAGCTGTTATCAGTGTGAACAGAGCACTTTCATGATTTGCACTTGTTTTGAAACTGTTTTAGTCGATCAATTTCAGTGACATTTGTTTACTGTATGTCTGTATTTGTCTGTGCACACAGACTTTTTGCTAATGTATTCCAATGTGTTTTTTTTTTTTTTTTTTACTGCAAATGGCAAATAAAACTGAATCTGAATCTTTTATATCCATCCATCCATCCATTCCATCCATTTTCTACTCCTTAATCCATTTCTGGGTCGGGGGGGGGGGATGGCCAAAGGTGCCACCCAGTACACATAGCACCAGCTCCTCACTGATCCTCCTGAAGGTGGCGAGTCCACAGGAGGATGGTTGCTCTATGGCAAAGCCTTGATCTTTCAGCGGGGGCTTCAGGCAAAGTGGGGTTAAGTGTCTTGCCCAAGGACACAACGACAGCAGTCATCAGTGGGAGTCTCCTTTTGTTATATCTTACCAAATAATCTGTATATCACACATTTGGAAAATAAAAATAAACCAATGGGGTCAGGGGCTTCTATATAATCTTTTATTGTGTTTGGGTCCTTGCACTGCTTGCCTTGTTTTATAACCTTTTGAACCTCTTTTTATTCAGACATTTTATAACATACTGTAACGTCTTGGCTCGAGTTAATGAATGAGACAGTGTTCGACTTGCTGCTTTATTACAAGATGATTACTGTCAGTCATACCCACACCAATACAGATCCCCAATGCAAGCAGAACAGCAGCCCGTTCGTAGTACTGAGCAAGAGAGACTTGTATCAAAACAATCTTCCCTATTCCCCCCAGTAGGCCTGATCTCCCAAACTCAGAACCAATCCTGTAAGTACACTAAACAGTGAAGAAAAACATGCTTTAAACAGCAACATAAATGCAGGGTCGCTACACTGCCCCCTTCCCACTAAGTCCCTCGCCCATAGGGATCACATAGAAAGTCTATAGGGTCTCTTTGGGGTGACTGCTGGCCTGGGAACAACATGCTTCTGAGCAGGGGGCATCCATGTGTCAGTTGATGGGGAAACAGTCAATGTCTGGGGTCTGGCAGCGTGTTCCGTTCCTGGTTGGACTGCAGGAGTGTCTGGGGGTCTGCCGAAGGACATTTCTCTGGGTGTCCGTAGCTCTCGCCCCAGCAGGTGTGCATGAAGAGCAGGTGTGCATGCTGTGGACTCCTGAACCGAAGACCTGTACGCAAGCAGGACATGGGGGAGTTGCGTGTCCCAATCCCGCTAAAACTCTTGCTAGAGCCGTCAGAGAGTTTGAGACTCCAAAGTGTCCCTGTCCAGTAGTTCCATGACAAGCCTTCAGAACTGGGTTTCTGAGTGCTCTGGGGACTGCAGTTTGCCACCTTTCCCTTGTAGCTAGTTATGTCCACGCTCTCTGAAGTACTCTTATACGGAGGGTCGTAAACTTTCTAAAAAGTCCTTTGGTAGCCAGCGAAGACCCAGCTACTTCACTCTACTGTGGTCTCTGTACTGATTCCCACTGCAGAACAGGTAGCAGACCGGGATCCAGTTCCTCCTGAGTCCTCTAGAGTCCTCCACTCCAGTGGATGATGGAGCTCCGCCACTTCACAAATTGGTCCTTCACTGCTGCACAAGGGACTCGCCTGCTCCTCAAGATGGAGCTCCTGTTCCCTGGCCTCCCGTTTTTCACAATAGCGGCAGGCATCCAAAGCACATGGAGCACATGGACATTGCATCCACGTTGGCATGGCGACTCACAGGCCTGTACTCTACTTTAAAAAATATATGGCACAAGATCGTCCAACCAGCGGACAATTGATCCCACCTGGCTCATCTCTGCACCCCTTCCCACATTGCTGGCATCTGTGTACATTACAAATGGCAGATTGGTATCTGGGGGGGTTAAGATGGGACTGACTCTGTCAGTGCCTTTTTCAAAGTGCAAAAGGCCTGGTCGCACTCTGGGGTCCACACATTTTTTTCCAGCTGTGGACAGGGTGCAGCGATGCAAGAGAAGCCACGCACAAACCGCCTGTAATATGAGGCTTGTCCAATGAAACGTTTCAGTTCTCTGAGATTAGTGGGGATTGGCCAGTCCCTCACAACCTGTACCTTTTCCTCCAGAGTACTGATGTCTTCTCCACCAACCTTGTGCCCTAAAAACTCCAATTCCGTTCTCATGAAGCAGCATTTGTTGGGATGGAGTTTCAGTCCGGCTTCCGCGATACCGTGCAGCACTTGCTGGAAAGATTCCAGCAATACGCTTCAATACTTTTAAAGAGGTCCTAGCCCTCTTCGAGCTAGGCGGCGTTGTTGGTCACACATGTTTAGGAGATAGGCAAAATTGGAGCATGGGGAGAACATGCAAACTCCATACAGCCACCATATCAACTCTGCTTTCTCCATTGATGCAATCTTTTGATTGGGTGAATTTGACCATTTATTTTGCTTTCCCAGGAGAAGTAAGTGTGAGAAATCCAATCTTCCCCACTGGGGGGTTTAAAATAAGACCAAAGCGGTTAAAAACAGTGGAAATAATGAAAAAACAAAAGTGTTGAGCACCATGACAAAACGCTTGTTACATCTGCTGCACTGTTGGCTCATGTTTCACTGGCAGCGACTTCAAACTCTGCTCCCGCTTGAGGCTCGTGAATGTTTATTTTTTAAAATCGTTCACCTTTCTCTAATAAATGTCTTTTTTTGCTTTGTAGTAGCATTGCTTTGAAAATGTGTTACATGTGTGCGCAACAAATCATTAAGGGTTAGATACACACTGAAAATTATTCATGAAGGCTTCACAACAGATCAGGGCAACATCAATGTTGCATCTGTACGTTATATTTTGACTCTATAACCACCATAGATTATTCAAATTCATTCCAAACATTTGAAATCTCAATTTGAGTCTTAAACAATGCGCTTTGGGTGACCTTGGTCTGTATAATGTGCTAAATAAATAAACATTACTTACTTACTTACAATGCAATAAAAGAAACAAGTCCAATCAAAGATCCATTTGTGTCAAAATGCCTAAAGCCTGGTTCACACGAGACGATTTTAAAATTGTCGGACAATTTTCCTTACCTGAGACCCCACACAAGGAGATAAAGAATCAAGGGTCTAACCTGGTTGTAAACGGTAAACGGCAAAATCACGCAAACCACACACAGTACACACGAACCGATTTCACCTTGAGCATTCCCAGGTCAGACAGAAATCTCACAAAATCTCTTGATCAAGCGTGATTTCAGAGTAAAAAATCATGGCGGACGAAGAGAATGCAGTGGCGATAGTTTGGAGCTTGTTTTTAACAGAGAAGTATTATCAAAAGAAAAAGCGATGGTCAAAGAATTGGAGACAACGCAAGCATGGACTATACTTGCAACATCATAGTATGGAAGTGAGATGTTTTTTTTCCCTTCATAGGAATGTCGTAGCCTACAGATTAATTACCGTTTAAATAAGTGTTCATATTAGTTTCCATCATTTGCCCTGGTGGACTGCAATTTTGGACGTTGTTATGCCCATAGACTTTATTTATATTGTTATATTTTACAGGTTTCTGACAGAAAAAGGGTCAAAGAGCTACTTTGCATGAATGTGGAGGAGCTTGAGTTTGTCCTCAATAAAGTAGCCTTGTTTATCAGAAAGCAGGATATAAACATGAGGCTGTCCATTTCTGCGAAGGAGACACTGGTTTTAACGCTAAGGTTTTTGGCAACAGGTTTGTTTGCAACAGCCTGTTTTGTATATTGTGTTTACTTTTACTAAATCGAGTCACTGCCAATGTTGTTTCTTTTTTTGGAGAGTCCTTTACATAAAGGACTTGCAGATTAGAGTTGTAAAATCAACCATCTCCCAGATTGTCACTGAAGCCCTGTACCAAGCATTTGATAAAGATTATCTCAAGGTCATGTCTTGATGTTTTTTTTCTTTTAAATACACACACAAAGGAAACTCATGCATTGCATGTAGTCTGATAAAAAAAGAAAAAACAAACAAGTACTTTGACAAAAAACTGTTATAAAGGTTATATCATATTTATTTTTGAATAGTGTTAAGTATTTAACAAATTTGATTGAAATTACATTGGTCCTCATTGAAAGTAGAATTATTTGCCTGATGCATTAAATCATTCATTTCAGACACCAACTACAGAGTAGGAATGGCTCGACACAAGATTTTCATCAAATGTGGCAGTTCCCCCATTACCTTGGGGCCCTAGATGGGAAACAAACATTTTTCCCCCAGCTCATAGTGGATGTACAGTATCTTCCGTAATTACAAAAGGCGGTTTTCTGTTTAAAGATGCTATACCCGATGTTTTTTTAATGAGTTCATAAAAAATGCTTATAACTACATACAAGTGCATTATAATCCATAATTTAATTGAAAACTTGAGCTCATTGATTCAGCTTGTGTATAAATTTAGGCTGTAAAAAGTGCTTAGTGAAGACTTTACTCTCCTCCATTCACAGAACGAGGCTGCGTCCTCTAGCCTCTAAAGCGCTGCTAAACACAGTAGCATGTTAGCAGAATTAGCTATAACTCCTCTTGCTGTAACTGCATACACAGCAAAACAGTCCAAACGACGAAACAGTGAGGAAGAGAAGAGGGAACTAAAGTGAAAAAATGATTTAAAATTTTCATCGAGCCTGAGTGAACATAGCTAGGTTACATCATATCATCTGGAGAGACCTGCGGGAGCGGGACCACCTTGGACAATATGCTCGGACTACATTCGGACGCGAAACTAGCGGTAATCTTTCAGTTTATTATTTGTTAGCAGTAATTGTTAATTTTAATGCTAATGTTAGCATATGTATCAGATCGCAAATAAACCTAGAGGGCTCTTTCGGATGACAGCGTAGGGTAAACGAGAAGCCTGTGAGCGAGTTGAGGTGCTAAATATTCAAACCTTGCAGAAACGTGTATAGCTCCTTTAATGATGGCGCTTGTTGATGCCAAGTACCAGTTTCTGTATGTCAGTGTGGGAGGACAAGGAAGAGCATCAGATGCAGGAGTGTTTAATGAGTCAGATTTCAAGAAAGCACTAGACAAAGGCCTTCTCAATATTCCTTCTGCAAAACCACTACCACAATCAAACATACAAAGCCCCTGGGCAACGATGCTTATCCTTTCCGCACAGACCTCATGAAGCTATACTCCTTTTGTCAGATGGATTATCAGCAGGGAGTTTTTAATTTCAGGCTTTCTCGAAGACGCAGAGTGGTGGAAAATTGATTCTCAATACTTGCAAACACTTGCAAATACTTGGTGAGTATTCCTCACACAATAATGTTCAATGCTGACAAAGTACAGAAGCTTTTATTTTTTTCAGAATAATTTTTATTGCCACGTAAGTAACAGGAAGTCACAGACTTGGAAATAGTTTTGGCTCAGTGCAACAGTCAGAAAGAGAAGTAAAAGGTAGAGAAGGCACAATAATAATAAAAAATATACAATTAAAACTCTTCTAAGGAATCAAATTTAAAATAGAATTATGGGGGACAGGTTATGAAATGCTCAAGAGTCCAACAGCAGAGGGGAAGAAACTGTTCTTGTGGCGGGAGGTTCTAGTCCTGATGGACCGCAGTCTCCTGCCTGAGGGGAGTGGTTGGAATAGTCCATGTGCAGGGTGAGAGGGGTCGGCTGTGATACGACCAGCCCGGCCTCGAGCTCGGGCGACGTATAGGTCCTGCAGTCGATCACTTCCTCTGAAGAGCGCACAATGCGCTGCAGTCTCTGTTTGTCCCTGACTGTGGCTCCAGCGAACCACACGGTGATGGAGGAGGTGAGGATGGACTCGATGATGGCCGTGTAGAACTGCACCAGCATCTGTGCAGGCAGCTTGGCTTTCCTGAGCTGCTGCAGGAAGTACATCCTCTGCTGGGCCTTCTTGATGAGGGAGCTGATGGTCGGCTCCCACTTGAGGTCCTGGGTGATGGTGGTGCCCAGGAAACGGAAGGACTCCACAGAGGTGATGGGGGAGTCCATCACGGAAGGTGGGGACAGTGCTCTTCCTGAAGTCCACAATCATCTCCACTGTCTTCTGGGCGTTCAGCTCCAGGTTGTTACCACTGCACCAGGACACCAGCCGGTCCACCTCCCTCCTGTAGGCAGACTCATCATTGTTGGAGATGAGTCCAATGAGGGTGGTGTCGTCCGCGAACTTGATCAGCTTCACGGAATCGTGGCTGGAGGTGCAGTGGTTGGTGTACAGGGAGAAGAGCAGGGGAAGAAAGAACACAGCCCTGTGGGGCTCCTGTATTTATAATCCGAGAGTCCGAGACATTCTTCCCCAGACGCACTCGCTGCTTCCTGTCCGTCAGGAAGTCAGTGATGCACCTGCAGGTGGAATCGGGCACGTTGAGCTGGGAGAGCTTGTCCTGGAGCAGGGATGGCAGGATTGTGTTGAAGGCAGAGCTGAAGTCCACGAACAGGACCCTGGCGTAGGTCCCCGGGGAGTCCAGGTGCTGTAGGATGTGGTGGAGGGCCAGGTTAATGGCGTCGTCTACAGATCTGTTGGCTCTGTAGGCGAACTGCAGGGGGTCCAGGAAGGGGGAGGTGAAGGACTTGAGATGGGAGAGAACCAGGCGTTCAAATGACTTCATGACGACAGACTTAAGTGCTACAAGTCTGTAGTTGTTGAGTCCTGTGATCCTGGGCTTTTTCGGGACGGGGACAATGATGGAGGATTTGAAGCAGGCCGGGACATGGCTTCTACCAGTACACGGCGCTCTTCCAGCAGGTCGGCAAACTGTGGTAGGCTCGCAGTCTCTCTCATGGCAACCTGAGCGATGCACCCTGCAGGTTTATCCCCAATGTTCACTCTGACTACAGCGAATGTCTGGATTTCATCCTCTGGGTTGTCCCTCCAAAGGAATCTGTGGAGGTGAACTTCTTTGTCTTTTAGCCATACAGAATTATACATTTTCTTTACGTCCCCTAAGGCAGCGTATAATCCTGTCCGGAATCTTAGAAGGACACCTCTAATTGCATTGAGGACGTCTGGACCCTTGTACAGAAGGTCGTTCAAGCTCACCCCACGAAACTCTTGGCTGCTGTTCCATACAATCCTTACTGGAGTAGAAGACGAGTGTGGATTAGGTGCTACTAAGTGGCTGATGTACCACTTCGGCCCCGTCCAGCTTGCAAGTTCTTCTTCAGTTAGCTCAGTTGCAGCTCCTC